CGGAATTAGACGATCGGACTCCATTTTTTGTGGCTGATCTACGTGTTGCTTAAGACGTGATGCATCGCGACCGTCACGACGTCGCTCTGGGAGACTGCGATCTGCAGTCACTGGACTTCATGGGATCCATGATCAATACCGGTACTGAGGTTCCGGGGGAAGCAAATTTGTCGAGTCTACACGAGGACACGACAATCAAGGAGACTATAAGCTATCAATCCGGTGATCTCAAGGCGGCCAAGTGCGCTGGTGATCATTCCGTTACATGTGGTGAGCACTTCGCTGCTGCTGATCAAGCGAATACTGATGATCATTGTGACCTTTCGGGTTACAGGGAGGCAACGCAGCCGGAACCCAGGAAAAGCTCAGTGTTTACGATCTCACAGACGTTAATGAAGTTTTCACTGGCGCTCCTACCAAAGATCACACCGTAGTGGTGCCGAGCATTGCCGTTCCGACTGCAGATGATTCAATTGCGTTGTTGAGCGGCCAGGAAATTGTCAGTGAGAGTGCATCGCAAGAGATGAGATTGCAGTGTAGCACCAAATGTGAGACGGAAACACAGTACTCAAAGAAAGCCTCGGAACAACAAAGTGACCACACTCTCTCTCAAAAGACGACCATGAGCGACAGTAGGGATCAGAAAAATGGCATTCAATTAAATTTTGGAACTATGTCAGTGGTGGCAGCTGGTGGATCCACCGCAGCGTCCGTAGTATCAGATGCTGAGGATCCTACGGATGATGACAGAAAGAGCGAGGAGGATGCCATGGTGGCCGGCGTGTATGGATCTATGGATAGTGAGCAAGTATTATGTGAGGACAAGGGGCTATTAGTAAACTGATCAGTGCCAGTAACTTACCGCTGCCAAAGCAAACCAGGAAGCGTACACACCGTGAGGAAATGCCTTCAGAAGAGATTCGAGTGGAGCGTTATGCTGAATAAAAATAGTTTGAGGCCGAGTACCGAATGAGGCACAGCACTTTATAAATAGGCATAACCGCAACGAGAAAGCACAGCACGAAAATCACAAGCACACACACACACACACAAAGCTACATGTACCTATCTTCCATGATCCTGACAGCAGTGGCACAGAATCAACTGCCCAGAGTGCACTCACTGTCAGTCATAGAACGCCGAGGACATATTAGCGATAAGCCCTGGAAAGCAGCGAGCAGCTAGAATCCAACCAGACTCACGCTAGTCTTGCAACCGACGTGTACTGCCCCAGCAGGCGTAATCTCGATAAACACCGAGGAGGACTTGAGCAGGCTTGCGTGAAGTATACGAGCGTCGACGCCCAAACTATTTGAAAGATTGTACTGCGATTGTGACGCTGCCTACATCGCGTATCCTCGATAACATGGGAATACCCATCAGAGCGAGGAATGTGAGAATTTCAAACAATCACCGCGAGGCGAGGCGATCAAGCTTCGCAGACTTTTGGCGAAAGGCCGAGCTTGAAGAAATGGCTGCACTGAGACAAAAGGGCGCCATTATAGAGATACCTCGTAATGAAGTCCCACAAGACGAAAAACCTATCAGCACCCGATGGGTGTACGCAGTCAAGTCGGATCATCAGGGTTGTGTTATTCGCTTCATGGTCAGGCTTGCCGCCCTCGGAAAGTATCGGCGACCAGGCGCTGACTTTGTGGAGACGTTTTCTCCGGTCGCTCGGATGTCGTCCTTCCACTTAATGATGGCCCTTGCTGCAGCACTGAGCTTATAGCTTTACGGTGCTGACATCAATACAGCACACCTCAACGCACTGTTGGGGATACAGCAGTATTTGCGCTCAATCGAAGGCTTTCCACGTGAAATGGATAGACACAAGTATGGGGTTTTCAAGGCACTCTTCGGACTAAGGCAGTCAGGCAGAGAGTGGTTGAACGACTGGTTGCGCAAGCATAATATCAGCGCTCTCTTATGGAGCCATACCTCTACTACAAGTTTGATGATGACAGTGTCATGCTATTGCTGATTTACGTGGACGACATATTGGCTACAGCGAACGATGAGAATGCAAAAGTGCGAGTTATTCGACGAGTTGTATCAGAACTATGACATTAAAGATCAAGGCCTTTTGACAGAATATTTGGGCATTGGGATTGTGTAAACTGATGAGAGTATCACAATTCGACAGAACAAATATGCACGTAGGATTCTCGAGACGTTTGGTTACGATCGTGCTCACGCTGTCGGATATCGGATGGAGACCAATGCTCGCATGTGTCCAGTGGACACAGAGAAATAGCCAGACACGAGTTTCGCGCATCGGCAAGCAACTGGAATGCTAATGTATTTGGGTATTGGCTCAAGACCAGATTTGGCTTATGCAGTATGTCAGGCCAGTCGATTTGTATCGAAGCCTTTTGTTAAGCACGTGGGAGCTCTGAAACGTGCTCTACGCTATCTGGCAGGATCTATAGCCTATGGAATCTTGTACGACAGAGCCAAACAAACTCCGACAAGCATTGTACTCGATGGATACTGCGATAGTGACTGGACCAACGATCCAGAAACAACAAAAGAGTTCTATCGGATTCGTTTTTACCCTGGCCGGGGGTGCTGTCTTGCGGATGTCACAACGCCAATCAATTGTGGCCCTATCTACTGTTGAAGCTGGAGACGGCGCAGCGTACGAGGACACAATGGAAGCTGTCGCAGAGAGCACATACTGAGTAAAATTCTTTCTCAGCTGCGTGTAAATCTGAAGCTTAGCATCGAAAATAAAGCTGCGAACGTGCTGGCAGCTTATCCAACATATAGCCGACGAACCAGACACATCGAACTGCGATGGCATTTCGTACGTGAGCACATACATAAAGAAGCAGCCCAGCTGTGCAAGATAAAGAGGGACGTTAATCCGGCGGATGCGCTCACGAAACCGCTGGACAAGAAACACTCAAGGCGCTGCTGGGGATAATGGGCATTGAAAATGCTGACTAAGAGGTCGTCCGTATCAGCAGTGCTTCCTAGGGCCCGAAGCATTTGATTTAGTTGAAATGCACCTTGGCGATAAAACGATGATGCAGTTGAAGGTTGATATTGGGACCCGCGTCAATGGTAAGACTAAGTAAGAGAGAGGGAGAGAGACAAGTAAAAGGACGCGTGGCTTTGTATGGGAACCGGGCACAGCTCGGTGAGTGTTTGCAGAAGCTGGAAAGAGCTTAACGGTCTAATCTATTCGTCTTTTTATTCTCTTTTTCTTTGGTGTACAAGGCTGTCAGTGTCCAACAAGAACATAAAAGGGTAGTTCCTGTATTCACTTTCGATACAACAACTTAAATAAACTTGGGGCGCGCTGTAGGACATCTCAAATTCGGTACCCACCTTTGAATTTTGCCCACGGAATGAATGCTAAATAACAGAACAGAGACTGTAACTTAAAAACGAACTTGCTCTTTTGCCTCGCCACTTCAATGTAAAAAAGCAATACATGTAGCCTGGCGTGGACTATGCACTGTTACCGTTTAGTGGTCGAGGCGGAGCACGGCAGACTTGCATAACCACAAAGTGTTTGCGCTGACTGCATGCATGCGCTGCAGCTTGATTTTGGCACACAACTCGTTTAGCGTCCGTTCGAGATCGGCACCCAGAATTTGACGCCATCGATGTTATCGGCTTAGTGGGTTAGCTGCCATTGCGCCAATTCCTAGCACAATAAACCCACGCACCCTTCTGACTGTGGCCCAACCATATGAGGTGGATCCGGCTCAGATCCGAGCACGGATTGGAGATAAATCCCAGGGTGGATCCGGCTCAGATCCAGGTGTACGTCAAGGATCTGACATGGAGTCAATCGGACAAACCAGTGCTAGGGAAGACACACTCAAGTAACGAGAAGTGGATTATGAGGGCTTAAAGGACGAGCTAGACCGATCCAGTTCACAGTCGCTTGAAACAAGACATTGTGCATTCTGTGCTGGTAAACCTTGTGCTCTTCGTGGAGATATTTGATGACATCGAGGTATCCAATTTGGGCAGCCGTATTAATTACTTCTACCTTGCACTCTGCTGTCAATAGTAAATTTATCCGAAGATTCTCGATTACTTCGACATGGCCGTTCGTCAGTGCCCCAGACATCTCCGTTCTGCATCAGTAGCCTCGGTCGTGATGCTTCCCATATATCCACTGCAATACACTTACGTGTCCATTTACAGCCGCTGCTGCCACAGCCTTGACGATAATCCGCCAGGTAAGTAGATTTCCATCAGCTATTGTAGCGATTATTGATCCCCATCACTCGCTGCCACCCCCGTTGCCTTACTGAACAGCCAGTGACGGTAGAGCGTAATCATGTCGTCAGGATCTTCATGAGATGCGACGAGCTGCATCCACCACGCACTACCTGTTCTCTTGTAGGTATCTACAATGGTCCAGTCGAACGAGAAGCCGTCGAGAAAATTGTTTACGCTAGTATTGACCACATGTGCAGGACTGCCGATTATGGCAATGCCCAACAATAAATAATGAAGCACAAGCATAATAACCTCGCGCATACATGTAAGAACATCAAAACATACATAATGGAAACGTATACTTTTACTAGTGTCGTATTAACAAGTACTAAGTTGATATTTAGTAATATTATTTTGTCTCAGAAGAAAATATTCGGTGATATTTTTCATATTAGCTGGTCTTCAGGTGATATTTTCATAAGATTAACTTCGCCAATTCTGGAGTTAACCACGCAACACGTGCTGACAATTCGTGAGCACCAGAAACTTGATTGGCACAAAGGATGTGCCGAAGCAAGAACCTCTCATCAAAAGACGTTTCAACTAAGCGATCGATGGAGATCCTTAAAATTGTTGATTAAGAATAATAAAAAGTGACAAATGGGCTAGATATTCTTACCACGTAAAGTTAAAATACGATACATGTACTGCTGCAGGTGCGTGCTCAAGGCGTCGGAGGGAATCGCTTGATGAGTGCCAGTCGAGCTTGGTCGTCTCAAAGTGGCACCCACTGACCTCGTCAGTGTAGCTCGCGACTAGCCACTGTTGCAGCTCTAATGGGAGACGGATGGTCATGTTAATCGGTAGATCGAACCCCTCGTTGCGGTGCAAGTGTAGAAACATAATTACATCAAAATGTTTGTTGGCAATCGCACGTGTCATCGCAGATCTCGAGCAGCCTTCAGAGCGATGAGTATGAAGCCATTTCACAACATCCAAATGTCCAGCTTCAGCAGCCTTGTTCATCGCGTTGATGGTGCACCCCTCGGTGCGGTGGGCGTGTAGCCATTTGACAACTTTCAAATGCCCATACCGTGCAGCTTTGTCCATAGCTGCTGAAGTGCAACCCTCCGAACGATTGTCTCCAAGCCATTTCACGACATCGAAATGGCCATTTCGAGCCGCCCAATCCATCGCAAGTGGAGTGCAACCTTCACTGCGATTAGCATGTAGCCATTGCACTACGGCAACATGTCCGTTGCAGGCTGCATCGTTCATTGCTACCGTCGAGCAACCTTCGCTGCGGCCATTTTACAATTTCTAAATGACCCGCACCAGCAGCACCATCCATAGCCAGGGTAGTGCAACCTTCGCTTCGGTACTTGTGTAGCCATTTTACAACGTCTAGATGTCCATTCGTTGCAGCCTCGTCCACGGCGTTTACAGAGCATCCTTTGTCGCAATGCTCGTGCAGCCACTGGACTACATCCAGGTGACCACTTCGAGCTGCCCAGTCCATCGCTACAGTGCCGCAACTACCAGACCATCGCGTCTGAAGCCACTGGAGCACGTCTAGATGACCGTATTCCGCGGCGCCAACGAACACAGAGGAGTCACATGTGCTATCATCTGTGTCAAAGAGCCACTGTACTACATGCACATTCCCGTTCTGGGCTGCCTCTCTCATCGCATCACTGGTCAGTACCAAGCCCTGTTCACAGTGTAGCCACTTGATGACATCGAGATGTCCATTTGCGGCGGCAACAAGAAGCATCCCCTCGTGAACAGTTGCCATTTGCCGTGAGGCCAGATATTTTAAAAGTTGCAGGTTGCCAAGTTTCGCGAGGAAATACAACTTGAGATTTCCCCCAGATACGTCAAATCGTTCGATAATCCAGCGAGCAGTTTCCTCATGGCAACTATTAATGGCAAATTGCAACATGTCACTTGCATCCGATGCAAATTCATCGCAAAGCCACTTGGCGATACTCAAGTTCCCCGCCTTGACAGCAGAACGTAGTACCTTGTCCATGCATTCTGTTCGAGGCATTGCGCGCTCTCGCAGACAAGCAACAACATTGTGATGTTTGTTTTCCAGTGCGCCACATATCTCGATGTCTCTAAAGTGAACTCGTTCTTGTTGAATATCATAAAGCCATTGCAATATCTCAAGGTGGCCATTGGCAGCAGCTACAGTAGTCACGTTGTCTACAGGCTCAACTGGCAGGTATCTCTCCATGAGCCAGCGGAGTGTTAGTAGATCTCCGCGACTGGCAGCGAGTTCCGACGTTTGGTTGAGCAGCAACGCTTAAAGAATGGGTCCTGGGTCTCCGATTCCTCACGAGCATCTACGAATTGCACGCAACGGAGACTTTTCGTCCGTTTGTAGGCCATGATAATCGTCCAGTCGGCAGAGAATGTGTCGAGGAATGCGTCAAGCGTGCGTGTTACATGGGAAAGCTCGCCGCAGTCTTCAGGTAGACAGGAACGAATTACCACGCGAGCAGTTTGGAGCAGGAGTTCTCTCATCCTTCCTGTGTCAATTTGTTGTTGAGTGAAGTGTACCGCAAATATGGATCCGCGTACCGGTACTGTACCAATTTGGGCTAAATTATTGCTGCCGGGAAGAATTCAATTGCAATCTATCAGGCGTCACAAAATTTAAATCGCTCGATTCTAGTTTGTTTGCTTGCGACAGCTAACTTTGCTTGCCAACGTATAATTTACATGTACCTCGCGCTTGTCTACACGTGGTGCTGCTTGCCGATTTCTGCGATCAGGTCTCGCACGTACCTCTTAATGTCGTTTTGTGTGGCCTGGACAGTCTCCAGGACTTCATCATGAGAAGCCGCCTCACGCTCTTCGCCTGGGAACAGCGCCTTGTTAGTGATAAGCGACAAACCGATGACTTTCAGTCCGCAGTGGGCTGCCACAATGACCTCGGGCACTGTACTCATGCCGACAGCGTCGCTCCCGACCAATCGGAGGAAGCGACACTCGGTCGGCGTCTCGTATGTAGGTCCAGACACGAAGCAGTAGACTCCTTTTCGGACCTTGTGAGTTAGACCGAGATCTTCGGCAACTTTGACGGCCAGATCCTGCAACTTTTTGTCGTAGCAGTTCGATAGCGGGGTGAAGCGAGCACCGAAGCGAGAGTCGTTTGGGCCGATAAGCGGGTGCTGACCTGATAGCCCTGGCATATTGAGGTGGTCATTCATGATCATTAGATCTCCCACATTAAAGTCCGGGTTTAGGCCACCTGCGGCGTTGGTTACCAGTAGGTATTTGATGCCTAGCAAGTACATAACGCGAATAGGCAGTGCTGTCTCGCGCATGGCGTAGCCCTCGTAGCAATGGAAACGGCCGCGCATGCACACGACACGGATACCGTCCAGGTCTCCAAAGACCAACTCGCCGGCGTGGCCTTCGACAGTGGAGCGAGGGAATTGAGGAATGTCTTCGTATTTGATAACCTCCTGATTCTCCAGACATTTGCTGAGTCCACCAAGACCAGAGCCACACACGACGCCAATGAGCGGGCGAGCAGTGATGCGTTCCTGGAGAAAGTCGTTGATGGTGTCGATACGCTCTTTGGGCAGCGTCTCGTCGGCCATTTGGCCCGTGGAGAGACGACGCACGTGTTGCGTCGGGTTAATTTCCTTGTTGGCAAGTGTGGCCACCGAGCTCACGTTCGTGTTGCTGCGCGGACTCCCGTCCACGCTGTGGCTGTGGCGCTGGCGGGTCGCGCATGTCGGTGCGGGCTGAGGGGACGGCGGGTCAGGCGCCGCAGCTTTGAGCACGGGGCTAGCGGTGGGCGACTCGAAATCGTTCAGCATGGTTTTGAAGGGCTGTTGATAATTTGCACTTGATTCGGCACTGAATGTTGCTGACAGGCGGCGGATTGAGAACTGAGAGCATTCTGCGACTAGCAGCGGCAACTTCGCGTTTGGTCCACGTTTGCCGCGTCATCGTTGAACATGCGGGAACACATGAAACGGCCCGAAATTCGCATTCACCGCTCATTTTCGCAGCATGCATTCAGGCTGTGTAAGCCTTACTCAGTAAGGCGGTGCTCGAAGAATTTTCTTTTGAAGGTATGGCGGCACTGGATTGCCTTGCGCGAGGTGGTTGAAGATGCAGCGAGTGACGGCCTCGACTCGAGGCCGTCGAGGCTCGAGTGAACTGGTATTATAGCGGCAGAAAATGAAGGGGCTAGTAATCAAATCCCCATGGGGGGCTCAATTTTGATAAAACCAGATATGACATTTAGATATGTGATAAAACCGCCCATTTTGAGTATGATTTTGGTGTTAAAACCGGCTAATTCGCAGTAGTTTTGTCGCTACAGGCTCCCCAAAAAGGTGTCTCCAAGGAACTTTAAACGGGGAAACAGTTGCTATAATGCTGATATTCTATTGGTCAAGAGTGTGGAAAGGGCAAAACAGTTGTACAAACAGGCGTTAAAAATAAAACGTTCAAATGAAGCTCATGAGGAAGATGGTGGGTAATCACTCTTTAAATATATACAAATCCTTCTTTTTAAATGTGGATGGTACATTCTACTAGCGAAAGCATAAAATTGTAAGATTTTCATAACAGAGCAGTTTTAACCCTACATGGGCCAAAACGACAAGCGCACCTCGGCGAAATTGGTGTCTGGGTCGAGGTTCCATGCCCAGAGCACCCGAAAAACTGTGCTTTTCCCAAGGCGCGTCGCCTCTTTAGTTCGATCGCGCGAGTCCCACCCTCCACTTCTGCCTGCTTTGGCCTCGGCGACGAAATAACCATATACATTGCAAACTAGGGTTTTCTCGCCCGGACTGAGCTGGTGTCTGCGTTGCACTGCGCTTCCTGAAATGAAAGAGATGAAGAGTCTTAATTTATGGAAGAAGGAACTACGAAACCTCAGCTTTCTATCCGCGCCCTTTGCACTTAATTTAAGGCTATTTTGGTGAAGTTATCGCCGATTATCCAAAGATAATAATTTATTTCGGATTAGCTAGCCCCATCATTTTCTGCCGCTATAATAGCGGCGGAGTTCTTGTCACAGGCGATCGCCTCAGGATGGTGTACTCTCAGTCTCGGCCAGTGTTGAAGTCAAAACTGCAACGCTCGTCTACCGTCGTCGCGTTGACTGGCGCGAAGCAGCCAACGCATACATTTGCAAGTTGCAAAATGTAATCTTATGAGCAATGCGCATGACAGAGGAAGAAGTTGCTAAGCTCGATCTCGGTTTGTAAGTCCTATAGAACTACCTCGAAGTAACATTTTTTATAACAAGTGTATACGCTATTAATAGCAGGGAAGGCGGGCGGAATACATAATTTGAAGTATCAGTAATACCATAATCTATCTGCGCTGTTGTTGACAACTTTCGAGCTCAAATACTTATGACTGATACTAATAATATCGAATTGAATAGTTGCGGTAGGTGCCCATTGGCTTGCATTCGCTTGCCATGCAGCGTGTGCGATGGAGCTGTGAAGCTTGGCTTGTTTAATCTTGCCACGGGATTATTGTGGCTTGATAAATACTTAGTACTTGAAGCTGATACAACATTACCACGAAAAATACCTCCCACCGGCGATGCTATAATAATACCGAGCGGATCCTTCCTTCTTACAGAGCTATCTCGCACTCTCACCTGAGTTTACCTTGCGGCAAGTACGCTGACTGTACTGCCGAAGATCAGGACAAGCAGATAATTTACGAAAGCAAGTGAATGAAAAGGCCAGCATGTCAAAAATGTTCAACTGCAGCTCGTCATCCACAAGGAAAAGCACTAGAAGCGCGGGTGTTGCAGTAGATAAAGTAAACTGTTTGCTGACGAGCTGACAAAATCGTTGAAGATGTTGATCTGGGGTCCAAGCTTGACATCACAATCGAGTTTCTTCAGCATCAGCTTGCTAACGTCGATTGATCGAATGGAATGCCATGAAAGTCAGACGACAGTTGTTCTGGATCCATTCGCTTCGACGGCATCGGACATACTCCACGGACGGCACGCTCAGCCAAGGCCTACCCGCTAAAACTAGCGCAGCAAAGCTTGGCTGCATCACAGTGTGTGATGGTAGACCAGCACTGTAGATGAAGTCGACGACGAGATCGTTCAGCTTCTCTTGGGTCATGATGGAGCTGCTTCCAATATCCCTCCTGACGCGGTTCCTCGTGGGTTGTCGCCCCTGGACAGCAGCCCTTCTGAACGCGTTTCTCCCCACCTCTGTCCAGAGATCACAGGCTCTCAGGATATGACGATCCAGCTTCGCAACCTTTGCGTTGGGGATCAACTCGAAGCATTTTTTGCACTTGACGTCCTTCGTTCCAGCAATTCGGTCAAAGTACTCCCACACAGCATATCGTTGTCCTCCTCCTGCCATGATAGCTTCATCATAAAGACAAATTAGCCTCAGCTCCCCATCTCATGGCTCCCTCCCCTCCCTACCTTCAGTCCTACCTTCAGGACTTGCCTTTCACCTGCGCGTCTCCAGTGCGGAATCAGAGTGAATGTTGTTGAAGTGCAAGAGATTAGAAATTACCTCAATAGCCAGAACAATTACTGTAAACTGTCAAAATAAGCATATCGCAATTGACAATTACACGATCGTGTCAAAATGAGCTCATAGATCTACCTCTACAGCCTTATGTTCCGAAGCACCAGGCAAGAGTCTGCATCGATGCTCGAGCGATCGAAGTCGTGCATGGGCATCTTCGTAATCCGGATTCAGCGCCACCAACTCCCGAATATCCTTCAGCGCCATATGAAAGTCACGTTGCTGTTCGTACGCATCAGCTCGTCGAAGCCTCGCAAATACATTCTTCGGACGACGTTCCAATACATACGTACAGTCAGTAATCACAGCTGAGAACTCGCCTCGTGTCTGGTTAGCGCGAGAGCGGTACAAGTAGCAGTGCATGACCACGTCGTCGTCGTCAGACTGGGACGCATCGATGGCCTTAGTGTAGAACTTGATCGCATCTTCGTACGAACGCAGCTGGAACGCCCTGTACCCTTTCTCCTTAAACCAATTAGTGAGTGGCAGTCCCGCTTCTTTGGCTTCTTCAGCTTCAAGTTGGCTTATAAAGCGCGTAATACCTGCGTGTCGAGGGTCCACTTCTTGTCCGCGATACAGCGTACTCAAGGCCTGGTCATGTTGACCAGCAGCATGTAATGCCAAGGCGAGACGGTAGTATCCTTCTACCTGTCGGTAGTTGATTCGAATACATCTCGACGCATCTTCAATCGCCTTCGTGTGATCTCCACGAGCAGCATGGGCGATACTACGATGTAGATGCACCCAGTCGTTCTTCGGATCCAGTTCCAGAGCTTCCGAGTAGCACTCGATCGCAAGAGTAAAGTCTTTCTTCCTTAATGCATCGTCGCCGTCTTTCTTCTTGAGTTTCGCCGACTCTGCCGCTGTCATACGACGCAATACCGTGCCATCTCCACCTTTAAGTCGGGCTTTGTATAGCTTCTCAGTGTCCGCTAGAGCGTCTTGGATCTTCGTAAACTTGGGATCGACTTTCGTTCCCTTGCGTAGTGATGCCATCGCTTCCTTAAACTTGCCCATGGCCTTAAGAGCCAATCCGTGACGGAGATATCCCGTCACATCGTATGGGTTGTAGCGCATACAGCGATACGCGTCATCTGTTGCCTTCTTAAACATCGACGCTTCCATGTATGCTAGACTGTCACATCATTAAAAAAATATGTAAGAAATAATAAATTTCGGTAAAAAAAACCATCATTCACATACCTTCGGTCTCCATAGTAACCAGCACGTTTACGATCCAGCGCAATCGCTTCGGTGAATTTGTCAATTGCCAAGTGATATTCGCCGTCTTCGAGACTCTTGTAGCCTTCGCTCCGCTTGAATTTCGCCATAGTACTCTTGACTTCTTGGACAAGTCGACGGTCAATGACGAGACTGTCTTCCATCACCGCAACACCTCGACATTTCCACAATTGTCGCTTAGCGTCGTCGTTCTCAGCGATAATTTCAAGGAGGAACGACGCTGCAAAGTCCACTTGTTGAGGAGAAGATCGATGCTTGACGACAGCAAGGAGAATTTTCACGACTTTCGACTCGACGAGGATTGTCACGAAGTCGGAGTTGAGAGTAGAGATCAGCTGTAGCAACTCCAAAGCACAAAGAGTACAAGCGTCCGAGTAGTTTCTCCACACCAGCTCCATCAGAGTCAGTAGTCCTTCTCGTTCCACAAGAGTCCACGCAGTTGAGAGCTCGAGATCCTCCTTCATAGCTGCCAACGACTCTACAAAAAGAGCTTCATCAGGTTCTGTTCGGAGACTTTCCAGAAGACCAATAACTGGGTGTAACATAGGGTCAGTGGCTTCGTCATAGCTACGTGCTGTCTGGAACTCAGCAGGCACGATCATCAATGCATCGTCTTCTACACAGCTCTCGCCCGTTGTCACTCCTTCTACGTCGTCGTCACTTAATAGAACTGCGCTGTCGTCATCGGAGATGGCATCTTTGAAGCTTCCAGTGTCGCTGTCCATTTCTTGCTCCGGTTGGTCATAAGCTGAGTGGTTGCTGTTAGCTTCAGGAGCCGGAGATGCCTCAGCACTATCGTCCGTGCTGGTTGAGCTGCCGTCTTCACCTAGAGCGACATAGAGGGAGCGTACCACTTCACGAGAGCGAGGTACCGTTGCCTTACTCTCTTCTTCATTCATCCAAATACTCGCAACTTTCTCTTCATTCACCGGAGCAGCGTCCCACGCGACAGCACCCGAGTATCGCTGTCTTCGAGCTGACATAGAGTCCTTGACTCGTCGACCAGTCTGCTCTACCGTGGACGCCTCACTGGGAGCTGACAAGTCCGTCGCAGTCACTTCTTCAACCGCTTCCACTCGATCTGACGGTGCACTAATAAATGGTTCAGCAGTAGACGACCCCGTTGGCTCCTTATCAACACTAGAGTTCAGGTCTGAGCCCGATTCTTCAGCTGAGACAGCGTTCGGTTCCTCACTAGACAAACGCGTCAGCTTGGCCAGAGCTTCTTGCGCCATAACCACCAAGTCTTGCGTACTACTGCTGCGTGAATCACTCGCTTTATCTCCCATTCCCAGTCGTTTCAGCTCTTGAGAGGCAATATTCAACAGACTGGACACACACACGAGCTTCTGCGAAGCCTGTTCCTCGATCTCTCCCAAATCTGCTGCACTCCCGTTGCCAGATCGCTCCGATATCTCTTTCAGATCTTGAAAAGCTTCGCTTAACGACGTGGACACGTGCTCCACTGTGGCAGCTGCATCGGCTTCCATCGTCTTCAAGTCCGTAGTACTACTACCTCTTGATCGGCTCTCGTTGCTGAGATGTTGAAGCTTTTGTGATACTTCCTCGAGCACACTTGATACACGATCCACTTTGGACACTGCGTCCGTTTCGAGACCTTCTAGATCCTTGGAGCTACTATTCTGTGATCGATTAAACACTCGGTTGCCGTATCCCAGTCGCTTGAGCTCTTGGGACGCTTCACTCAGTGTAATACGCTGCTTCGGATCAGCTGCACACATCTTCTCAATGAGTGACCAGGCCTGCACAGAGATGTACTTTGGACGAGGTGGGAGGAGACTTAAGTTGCCCTTAAGTGTCCGGATCTTGGCGATATCCAAGCCTGCCCACGGTACTGTACGTGTTAGTGCCTCTAGGATGCACATACCAAAGGCATAGACATCTGTAGCGAACGACGTGGCAGACGCACTTGAACCACTGGACAGAAGCGCTGAGCCAGTCTCAGAGAGAGATCGAAGTGACTCTCGATACGCCACATGCTCTCGTAAACACTCCGGAGCTTGCCACCGGATCAGTTCTTCAGCGTCTGCGTCGAACACGTCCAATTGGAAATATTCCGTGAGTCCCGAGTCCCTAGCGTCACAAGCCAATGTGTACAGCCCAAAGTCAGCGATCACAGCTCGACCTTTCTTGTCAACTAGGATGTTGTTGCAACGTAGACCTCCGTGTACGATACTGTGCTGTTCGTGGAGATACAACAAGCCTCGACTGGCACCGTAGAGTAGTTGCCACGTCAAGGCCTCCATCTTGCCGGTACTCTCCGGTCCGGCACATTGCTTTGCTCGTGTTTCTAGTGCTGCGAGATACGACGTCAGACCGCCGTATGTGGTAAAGTCTCGTACGAGATAGGGCGGTGTTGCAGCGTGTGAAGCTCCACGTACAGTCACGACATTTGGGTGTCGAACACGAGTCCACTTGGCCACTCCACTACGAGCGAATAATTGCTCTACGAATTGATATTGCACATCAGGGAGAGCCCACAGACACTTGACTGCTACGGTGGATGTTGAGCTACTGAGAGCTCCTTCACTATTGTAGTTGTATCTGTATGCTTCACCACGATGAAGTGTGGATCCAAAAGACCCTCTTGAGTGGCCGATCGTGTGTTCAGTTAGAGAAAAATCCACTTCACATCCGGGTAAAAACCACCGCGGGACTCGACGAAGATGTAAATCACACAAATTAGAGATGCGTCGATGGGTCATTTTAAGCGTCTCCACGAGTTGGGTTGAATGACCTCTGGGTGGGTCATTGGATGCGAACTCCGCGACCAATCCCAGTAGCATCAACGCTTGACGACGCTCACTTGGGAACTCTTTATTGACAAAAGTTGGAGTCGACAGTAGCGCCATGAGTGTGTCGTGCAGAGTCTTCTCGTCTTGCAATCGGTTGGAGGCAAATTGCTGTTTCCACTCGAGTAATGAGCTTGTGGCACTAGCCAGCGAGTTGTCTACTAGCACCACGTTCAGCTCATGGTGGACTCTTGCCAGTCCAGACAGGAGTCGACGACTAGCGGCCACTTTTGCCACAAGGTTGGGGAGTTTTAAGTGTTGATCCAACACAGCTTTGAGCTGGTTGAGGAGCACGATAAAGTGTGACAACCGGAAGCCCACAGGCAAAGACCCATGCTTAGCAGCACTCGCAATTCGTAGGAAAGCTTGGTGTAGTCTTGCATGCGCTTGCAGACAGGCCCGAGGACGGTCTCGAACCTGTTGACACAGTCCGAAGATTGAGTGCAGGAAGGCCAACACCTTGTTAGCGTTGGGCAGCGTCCGCATAGCCGCCTGGTCCATCGAGGTGGGCGAGGATGGCGCAGTAGAGGCCTCGGATCGAGTGGCTGTGGCGGCCGAAATAGCGCGACCTTGGCCCTCGAAGAGTAGCGGCGTCATGGCATCATCGTCCATCGCGTTGGTTTCCTAGCGGTGGAAACGGCAAGGTGCCTTGTCAGCGCTTTCTGCGTCTGAAGAGCGCTGTTAAGAAGTGTGTGTCTCCACCTGGCAGCGACATTGAGGCAGAGAGGCCGGGATTGTGCCCAGATGACTCGCACGCAGCCCTACATCGACACTCTTTAGCGCTGATTAGGACACAGGGGTTCAGAGTCTCTGCCGCGTTTGGAATACAGAAATGATTGCAAACAAAATTCTGGTAAAAAAATCTGCAGAATTATAGAAGATGAAAAATGGCTTCATGTAAAGAGATGCAGGACGCACGCCATGGTTTTGAGGGGCTTGTGGTCATGCTGACTGCTTCAATCTACGGACTGAATAGCCGCCATGAAAACGCCGAGAGCTTCAGTTTTCTCCGCAGCTGAGATACATGAACTGTGCTGGTTGCCGAGGCACGTTACTACAGTGCTTGTGCGGTCGAAATGCTTGCAGATTTCAATCCGATAAAATGCGATGGAGCAATAGCTGGAGGGTTCTTGGAACGCCTCTGCGTTTTCGTGAAGAACGACTTCCAATTGAGTGGAATTGTGAGCTTTGTCGAAACTTACAATTTCGTCGAAATTTGCCGTTTCGGTCCAATTCTCAAGCCGTTCAGATAACAGCGGGAGCCTGAAATCTGATTAAAAATAGAGGCGCTTTGCCAGATTTCAGGAGAATTTTGCTCAGGATCCGCATGTAACCGTTTAGGCAAATCGCTCATATTTTGTGCTTGTTTGTTAATACCTACAATAACTTACTGTGACGGGGTCTGTGACGGGGTCACACAGCACCTTGCGCAAGAGGAAGTTATCTTCCGAGAGTATACAAACTCTCAGTGAACGGCAGTTCACAGGTCCCCTCTTTTATTAAAGAGAGCGAAGTGACCCAAATAAGGTAGATTGTAAACTGAGTATATTTATAGGTAGATTAAGTTTGGGTTTAATACAAACTGTTAGTTACCTATAGAAATGCAATGTCATTTAACCAATGGTTGGCTTTGAACGACCTTGGTACCTTGTACCCAATATCTCGGAGTATGACGTGTCATACTCCTGAAGTGTGAAGTGTCACACTTCATGTAACCAGGGTACACTCGGGGCTACGTACCCCGTTACATCCTCCCCCACTTATTACCGACCAATCAGAATGAAGAGGTGTTCATCACAAACTCTCATTCTCAAAGTCGAAAACCATCGACTTGGCCGCGCGAGCGCGGCGGAGGCTCACTTCACAGTTAGAGCCCCGAGCAGCAACCTGTGCGCTCTTCGTCTAGGTCTCCACTTCGACCGTTAACATGCCTCGTGGCACTACTAAGAGCGGTGCTAAGACACGCTCCAAGGCTGCAGCCGGTAAGGCGCAGGCCAAGAGCACTAAGCCTCACGGCAAAGGCTCTGCACTCAAGGAGGCTACTCAGGTGGCCTCCGAGGCGATCGGTTCCTCGGGTGACGCGGCTGCGGACAAGCGCGCATGCAGTCGCCGCAGTCCGTCGCCCTCGTCTTCAGACAACCGTCCGAACCCTCGGTTCGTAGAACGCGAGTTCAACTCGGGCAGTAAAGACGATGCCGAGTCCGAGAGCACTCAGGATGCTCCTGCGGGCTCTGTGGGAGAGCACAGCCCAGTGCCCAGTGAGCACAAAGAAGGCAGCGTGCAGTCGCCCGCTAGTAATCACGGTGATCACAGTCCCAGGACCTCTGTGCGCTCTGAGAGTCCGGCCGTTAAGGCTAAGGGCGCTCCCAAAGCCGGTGGCGATAAGTAAGATAATCCTCGCAAACGTCTCTCGCTTGCCAAGGGTCTTGCGCGCGCTAAGGCCTCTAAAGCCGGAGGCGCCAAGCCCTCAAAGAAGCGTACCGCCTCTAAGTCTCCACTCCGCGAGGAGAAGGAGACTCGACGCTCCTATCAGAGTCTCTTCGGCTCCTCGGATGAAGAGGAGAAGAAGGAGGAAGAAGAGGAGGATAAGGGTGCTATCGTTGAGCCCCGGGAGGTCTCGAATGACCTCGACCAGCAGCAGGATAAATTCCAAGCTGCCCAGCGTGTGCGTGGGGGTTTGGTGGCGGCACCCGTCAGTTAGGGAGCTGCCATCAGCTCAAGAGGGTATTGGCCTCCCGAGGAGAGCTCTGGGGCTGACCTCTTCTTAGAGCTTCTCGTCGCTCCTCGTGGCCTTGTGGGCAGCCACACTTCTAGGGGCATCTATGAACGAGCCCTTGTTCAAAAAGAACAGTTGTTCGTCGACAACTTGGAGGCTGCTCGGTGTGTGCTTCTCGCGCAACACCGCATTCCCCTTAAGGACTTCACGACTTGTCGTAAGAAGCCCGAGACCCGGGGTGGTCTCTATCCTGTTTGGGGATACCCCTGGGTTATGCTTGAGAACTGTCCCACGTGGAGTTCTTGTGAGGACATGTTCTGGGCGTGGGTGGAGACTCTCAAGTACTCGCCCACGGAGTTATGGGAACGCCATGAAGATCAGCAGCTGCTCCACATCCTAGACCAGCGTGATCTTCGTGTGAGGTTTGCCCACTTGATCAGCAAGCGTATGCTGCCAAGGGACATCCTGAAGCGCGCGGCTTCTAGCGCTCACGATGAGCGCGGGTACGGTATGTATTCATCGACCGTACCCCGTTCGGGCAAGAAGCCCCGGACTACTTATGAAGCTGCCGCCGCTTCTGTTCCCCGATTGCGACAGCCTTCGGGCAGTCAATCAGAAGCCGTTCAATCGGCTCCCACGAGTTCTCGGAGTGGGCATAACCCCTCCACTTCACGAGGAGCTGTCGCTTGCCGCGACACCGTTGCTCCTGGAGGATTCGCTCCACGTGGAAGTGGGCTTCTCCATTCCGGTCAAGCAGGGGCGGAGGTGCCCTCGTACGAATACGAGTACTCGGCGCCTCCCGAGAGCCACTCTCGTCCGAGTGCTCCGGCTGCGGGTCCGACACAGGACCCTGAGGTTGACCGCCTCCGTCAACGTGTCCTCGTGCTTGAGATTGCACTTGGCCTTGGGACTGGCGGTAATGCTGCCGCCCAGGCCGGGAATCAGGGCGAGCTCGCTCGTCTTGCGGGCCGCCTGGACCTGGTGGAGCGAGAGGTCGCGAGCCTGCACCTGCGGGTGGATCGCCGGGCCTCTTCGTCCGATCTGGACGAGGCCTTTCGCATGATCCGACGGATCGAGGCTTTGTTGCCACGTCCGGAGCCGCCTGCGGCACACTCCCAGACGTACGCGTATGGTGCGTACCCGGCGTACTCAGCGTACTCGGCGTATGGCACCGGGGTCCGTTCGTATGGAGCCCCTCCGGCGTACGGTCTTGACCGCAGCCTTGCCGTCCCGACCGAGACTTGGGTGCCTGCTCCGACGCCCTCGTCGACGACTGTGACCGGCCCTCGCTTCGAGGAGCTCGGTCAAGGGGGATCTGCGAGTCAGCAACCCCCTGCGGGTCAAAGTACCGCTTAAGACGTCCGACATAAAACGTCGGGTGCGTCGTCATTGACTTTGTAAGGTCGATGGTGTACGACGCACCATGTCTGGCCAGGACTGCAAAAGGTCCGATGAAGCGGTGCTTCAGTTTGTTGCTGCCGACAGAGATGATAGTGTCTAGAGGTAGGTTCCTCGTGTCTAGCAACACTAAGTCACCAACCTCAAATATACTTAAGTTTCCTCTTCCTTGTTTGTCTGAGTACTCCTTTTGTTTATCTTGGGTCGCTGCCATGGCATCGCGGACCCTGCTGACAATGTTCAGCTTGGTATCCATAAAGAATTCCACCTGTTTCCGCAGCGAAACTGGCCTCACATCCGAGACCTGGGAGGAAAGGGCTTTCCGAGCCTCTCCCCCCACTTAGAATAGAGGAGTCAGTGTCTCCTCGAAAAGTGAGAGGCACTCTGGGGTGGCGGAAGCCGTTCAAGTAGAACGGCGTGAGCCCCGTGGACGCGTGCATCGCGTTGTTGAGCGCAAACTCATCAACTGGAAGCTGCGACGACCACGTACGTGGCGCTGCCGCGCACACACTGCGCAGAGTGTCCTCGAGCACTCGATTGACGCGCTCTGTTTGGCCGTCTGTCTGCGGATGATCCGCAGTGGACATCTGCAGACGAGTTCCCAGTAAAGGGAACAGCGTTTTCCAAAACGCAGCAGTGAACCGCGGGTCTCGGTCCGAGACAATCGTCTCCGGGAGACCGTGATAGCGGAACACGCCATCGACGAACAACCTTGCGGTTTGTTCGCCCGTTACAGTGACGGGAACTGGAGCAAGATGTACCATCTTGCTCAGCCGACACACGAACACCAAAATTCCGGTGTTGCCGTGTCCGTCGGCGGGAAGCCCAAAGATGAAGTCAAGACTCATCGACTTCCAACAATCAGCCGGTACGGGCAGGCTCTGTAGTGGAGCCGAAGAGTGCCCTGCGGGTTTGACCCGCTGACATGTTTCGCATGTCTTGACGTATCGGGCGACCCACTTGTACATGTGGGTCCACCAGAAGGACTGAGAGACCGACAGAAAGGTCTTCTCGCGGCCCAAGTGGCCGCTGGAGGGCGCGTCATGCGCCTCCGCGAGGATGTCGAACTTCAGATCCTCGTTGTTGGGTACGACCACCCGTGGAGGATCAGTGAACTCCACCCGATAATAGAGGAGGCCCTCCTTCAACTCATATCGGTGGAGCCGTGAGCGCTGTCGCGACGAGAGCCAGTCGGACTTCGCGCTCGTTCCGGCCTTAAGGAACTTGACGATAGGCGCGACAGCCTCATCGTCCCGATACGCCATGCGTATCCGATCATATAGATCCGTTGTCACCCGCGTGATGTGGGCCAACTCATAGTCGGGACGCCGAGAGAGGGCGTCCGCAAGCACGTTGATCTTGCCCGGCTTGTATTCGACGCGGAAGTTGTATTCCGCGAAGAAGGACAGCCACCTCGCCATCCTTTGGGAGAGGTGAGGCGAGTTAGTCGCCGTCCTCAAGGACGCGTGGTCTGTGTAGATCACAAAGGGCCTAGAGCCCAGAAGGTGAACACGGAACTTCACAAGGGCATATTTTATTGCCAGGAGCTCCTTGTCA